AATAATAACAATAATAATAATAAATTACACTGTGACAATTGATGAAATCAATTGTAGAGCACAGAAGATGTTGTGCTGTAACAGTTATAAATGTTTTTATAATAGCATTGTTTACTTTTTAATGTATACAATCTTTATATAGTTTTATTTAATAAATTATTTTTGCAATAGTTAATTTTATCAAGTTTATTTTTGAATTGATCAATTGTTATTAATTCTACAATATATGGCGGTAAACCATTCCAAGCTTCGACAACTCTCCATGAAAAAAAATTAAATCTAGCATTACTCTTACAGTACGCTTTTGTTAACTTTTGGTTTGACCACGAAAATTGTAATGCTTTAATTGAGCTTTACAAATTTTTACTTTTAATTGAGTCGTTTATCCAACTAATCTCCTCATAACCCTTTTTTGTATTTTATATTGAAAAATTAAATCTCCTTGTAAACGACGCTTTTCTAGTGTTGTTAATTTCATTAACTGCATTTTTTTTAAATCTGGTACTAGTTTTGTAGCTCTTCTTTGTACTTTTTCTAACTTTAAAATGTTTCGTTTCAGATAAGGACACCATACTTGAATAGCAAACTCACGATGGGGTCTTACAAAAGTTGTATATAATTTTTTACCATATTTGAATCAAAATATTTGAAAGTTCGTTTAATAAAAGTGAGCATTTGATTTGATTTTCCTACAGCTTTATCAATATGACATGTCCATTTTAAATTAGATTGCACCATTACCCCTTAATCCCTTTCTACTTTTGATGTTGCTAAGATATTATTCTATTGGGTTTCAGTGTCAAACATTGAATAAGTTATACATGGATTTTTAAAGCAAATGTACATTTTTCATAATTGAATTTTAATAACCATAATGACGACCATTTAATAATGTTATCAATATCTTGTTGTAATTTTTTTATGTGTATATCTTCATCTGATTTAATAACATTTATAATTTTGTAATCATCTGCATATATTTTAATATGGTTTTTTACTGTCTAGCAGATCGTTAATAAAAATTAAAAATAGATGAGACCCAATGACAAAACCCTGTGGAACTCCACTCTCAACTTTTAACCATTTTTATAAACATTCCGCTAAAATTACTCGTCGCTTTCTGTTATATAAACAGTCTGCTATTCAATTAATTATTATTCCGACAATACCATATGATTTTAACTTCATCATCAGTTAGGTTAAGTAAACTCTAGCTAACTTTTAACTTTTTTTAACTCTAGCTAACTCTAGTTAACTTTTTTTTTTTAACCGAAGTCCAACATTGACCTATCCGAGTCCAGGCTTAAAAGTAAAGTTTGTAAAATTTCGTATAAAAATTCGCTACATTTTTCTAGGTTTTCTTTACATTTTCCAATAACCATTTTCATAAATTTAAAGTAATTTTTTATCATTGACTGGCATGATTTCTAAAAAATATTCTAATAAGTTGTGAGACCGGCGAGTTTTTCAATTTATAAAGTTGTTTTAAAAAAGAGTTCCTCTTTTATTTTTACTATTTTTTATCCAGGAAACTTCTGATTTAACAATTTAACATTTCTTCTGATTTAACAATTTAACATTTCTTCTGATTTAACAATTTAACATTTCTTCTGATTTAACAATTTGACATTTCTTCAACTGATTAAAATAAATAAAAATTAATAGCTTATTTATTTAAAAGTAATTAAGTTTAATTTTAATTAAAACTTAATTTATAATATATAACTTAATTATTTTTCTTTTTTATCATGATAAATATCAAATGTTTGCAAATGTTTTATTTTCAAACACGTTAAAAAAATTGAGTTTTACAAATGTCCTATTGAATGACGAAGGTTAAATTTATTTATTACCAAATGTTTGAAAAAATGAGCAGTATTCTTTTCTTATTAAGCTGTTCAAATGAAATTATTCAAAAACAATAACTTTAAAGTTCACTTAATCAAAGCGTTGACTTAATCAAACGCAAGGTCACCTTTTCGAATGAAAGTAAGCATTAAATCTTTAGTTTTCCTACTGGTTAAATCCACTGATTGCATTTAAAAGAGTTATAAGAGTGATATTGATGCGCTTGATGCAGCATACTTAGTTATTCCACCAATTTTTTAAAAGAAATACAATATTTGTTGACTAGTAAAGATCAGTTAATATATTCAATCTCTTTTATAAAGCGCTATTTGATTTGCATATATATATATATATATATATATATATATATATATATATATATATATATATATATATATATATATATATATATATATATATATATATATATATATATATATATATATATATATATATATATATATATATATTTAAATTTTAGATTTTTTTTTTTTTGTACTTTAATGTCGAAATAGTTTGAAAAATAATTTTCGAAACATTATACTCTAGCTGGAAATATTTTATCATTCATGAACTGCATTTAAACGATTGCTAAGACTCTATGGTATATAGTGCAATCCCGTAAAGTTCTATAAATCTTTACTAATGTATA